ATGAAATTAATATCTCTTGATATAGTAAATATGTATCCTAGTATCACAATAGAAGATATAGAAAATTCATTAATAAGAATTAAAACACCTAGTTGGATAATTAAATTATGTTTAATTATAATTAAAAATAACTACTTTCAGTTCGAAAATAAATTCTATACCCAAAGGAATGGAATACCTATGGGTACTTGCATAGGTCCAAGATTGGCTGAAATATCAATGATACAAATAGATGAAAAAATTAAAAATATAGAAGGTTTAGAATTTTATAACAGGTATGTAGATGACTGTATTATAATATATGATACAAGGAAAACAAATGAACAAATAATTATAAATAGAGCTAATGAGATAAAAGAAAATATTAAATTTGAAATAGAAACAGAGAAACAAACTAGTATTAATTATCTAGATATAACAATTGAGAGAGAAAAGACAATAAATTAATTTATAAAAAATATGTGAAACCTATATAAATACCAAAAACAATTAATTATAAATCTGTTACACCAATAAAAATGAAATATAATATATTTAAAATGTATATAAATAAAATAAGACAACGAACTAATGAAATCAAAACACAGGAAAAAAAAAAAAAGGAAATAATAAAAATGTTTATGTTAAATGATTATCCAAAAAGTCTGCTGAACAAATGGTTAAAAAAACTGGAAAATGATAAACAATTAAAATTAATAGATAAAGAAAAAGTTTTGTTAAAATAAGGTATATCCCTAAGATGTTTCAAAGAATTAAAAAAGATTAAACAGTAGAATTAATCTAATACCAGAAAAAGTAAATACAACAAAAAACCATTTATGTTATAGAAATTAAGGAAAATATGACATATTAGAAAAAAAAGGAGTAGTGTATTCCTTTAATTGTAATTGTAAACCAGAAAAAAAATATATAGGGGAACAAAAAGAAAACTAAAAATAAGAATAAATGAACATATCCAAGCAATCAAGAGAAATTATGCAAATTCAGTAGTAGTGGAGCACTGGCTGTGAAATAGTATTAAATTCAGTAAAAATAAAAAAAAAAGAAAAGAATAATTACAAAAGACAACTTTATGAACATATTAATATACTTAGATAAAATAAATAGTAATACCGGTAGAGAAATGCACCAATCATGGCGAAGAATTACAGAGGAAGGGGGTGTGTCTGAAGGATAAAAAGAACAATCAAAAGAAGTGGAAACGAGGAGTTAGCCAAATTGAACAGGAAGAGATGCAAGTTGTAAAAAATAGTAAATAAATTAAAAAACTGATATAATGTAAAACATTAATATAATAATTTGTTTAATACAGGCTTAAGTTTATAGTAATATTGTTTTTGTTGGTTAAAATTGAATGCCCAATTGAGTTAAAAACGAAAGAAAATCTGGTTTTTTAATTTATATGGAATATACTACAAAAATACCTGCTGAGGAGGGATGAAAGTGTCCGAAACGCAAAATTATGTGTGTGTCCAGGTATATTAAATAAAATAAAAAATTGTTTTCTGTGAAACTCTGTAGCATTATCTATAAAGCCAGCATAGTAAGTCCTGATATTAGAAGATACATACTTGTAGAAGAAAATTTATATTTTAGTAAGTCAAGGACATCGAGGCATTTTAATTAAACCTTAATATTTGTTTAATAAACATTTCTCAGCATAAGGAGTTTGATGATTCATTAAGTATTTGTACCTAACTTTCAGTAATAAATTCATTTTGTTATTTACACTTGTCTTTGTTTTATGGACCATCGAAGCTTGAAAAAAAAACTGCCCTCGTATTTTATGGTTATTCATTTATGGAATATTGTCGAATATGTCGCATTATACGATCAAGTGCTAGAGATGGCACACTTGATTTCTTATAATTCGGTATTCTGGTTTAACGGCGATATCTACACTCAGGTAGAGAGGTTCGCATGGGCAGCCCTGTTTCAGGGAACCTTTGTGAAATGGTGGTGCAACAGTTGGAGAAGAAGGTCCTCCCTCACTTCCTCCCCAACATCCTGTTATATAGGAGATATATTGATATCATCATTATTTTTTGGAAAACTGTTTCGGATGTGACAGCCTTTGTTGATTCTATTAACAATAATCCCTAAAGGTTGACTCTGGAAATGGAACAATCCAGCCCTACTGAAGTGCACTTCTTGGATGTAAATATTAGAGTGGAAGGCTTGGGCATCCACACCTCAGTGTATCATAAGCCAGAGTCCATGTTATCATACATCCCAGTGGGGTCGTGCTATCTGCTTTCGTACAAGATTGTGGCCTATAAGGCCTTAATCAGAAGAACCTTTACACATTCTTCCAATACTCAGGCTCTTGATACTGAACTAGCGTCTATAGAGTGCATAGCCACAGCACACAGTTATCACAAACTTGCGCATAGGCTGATACAACGTTATCAACGTATACATTCAGAACACACACAGGGGGTGGACCGGCCAATCTATAACCAACCTGACAACATAGAATGGATCCCCATTACTTTTAACCCATATGTAAGATCTTTATACACCAAGGTTGCCAGGAAACGCCAGGTATGTTTTGCTTTCAGGAGATGCCTATTTTTGACACCCTGCATAATGGGAAGAACCTTCCTAACCCAAGCAGTCTCTCCAGAGTATATAGTGTCCCTATAAGGGGTAAAAGATGAGATACAATCTGATATATATATGCTCCACTAAACATTCCATGGGCATCAAAATACAAGAACATCAAGTGGATATTCATCATGCAATAACCCCCATGGCCCTTGCTACTTATGTAACGGATCCAGATGTAGTAGCCGACTTTTCCTGGGCCAATCTCATCCTCAACATGCCTCCCACTGAACACCTCAAATGGTTAGAGGCTATGCACATTTTTAAATCCATCCTCATAGCTACAGGCATAAATTTTAAAGAGGAGATGGTTTTGTCATTGGCCTGGCAAGAGTTGATTCACAACTCACTCTAGCCACTTGTTGTGTCTGGGTAGGTTGACTCGTTGAGCCTGGCAAGAGTTGATTCACAACATACTCTAGCCACTTGTTGTGTCCAAGTAGGTTGACTCGTTGCACATGTGTGACATGGCTTTTAGTAAATTTTTTTGAAATTATGATCAAACTCTTATTTAAACGTTATTCCGTAAACAAATAACCATTTAGGAATGGTTAAGAACCTGATGCAGAGCCCAGAAGGGGTTCGAAAATGTTCATTTTTCGTTGTTTTGTTAACACACCATAATTGGTTCCGAGTGCATCATTATCATTAATCCGGTGTAGTGAGTTGTTATATAACAAAATAAGCCAAACATTGCCATATGGTATTGGACTTTAGTAATACAATGTATTTAGCTTTAGAAATATAATATGGTTGACTTTGGTAATACAATGTATTGAATTTTAGTGGAATTGTTTATAACAAAATATAAATATATTTTGCTTTATATGTTTTATTTAATTAATATTAATAAAATTTCTTCAATTAATTTTAATACTTACCACATTTAATAAAATAAACAATTAATTATAAGTGAAATTTGATGCATGACATAGTCTTAACAGTATAATTTTCTATATCTGCTATTCTATTAGAAAAATAAATGCTACAAATGTTTGTTTTTCAAATTTAATTAATATGAATTAATATAATTTTTTTGTTTTTCAACATTATGCTATTTTTCCCCTAAAAAATTTTTAAAAATTAAAAATTTTATAAAGTAAATCTAACTTATCAATTGTTTCACAATTAAAAGATATTTTTTTTGCTTTTAATACATAATCTTATATCAAATCAAGATTAGAGAGAATTATTATTTGGTTACAATAGATTATCACTACAAAGGTAACAAATAAAACATGTCATTTGTAAAAGTTATCAATCATAATTTTGAGATTAACAAATTTAATAAAAACTAATTACTATAAATATATTAAGTAAAATTAAAAATATTATTTAGTAAACTTTTTAAAATTATAAACTTACTTCTTCTCTAATAGACAAAACACCGGAATAGATATTCTCAATATCCCTGTGTGGTATTGATACTTGAATTTGAATTTCATGATGTACATAAACAACCTAAAATTAAAAAAAAAACAAATGTTTCTTCAATTAATTACATTTTATAATTCTTTAAGCATTGAATATATTGTGATTATAAATTAAAACATCCACTCAAATAATTTATTATAAATTTTTTATTATATAAAAAATAAATTTAAATGCATTTAAATTAAATTTTGTTACATTGTTTAAATGTAATTTATTCAATTACAAAATTAACCATCTAAACTAATAATGTAATTATTAGTTTAGATGTTTAATTTTGTAATTGAAGTTACTAATAATTTTGTAATTGTAGTTACTAATAATTACATTATTATTTTAGATGTTTAATTTTGTAATTGAATAAATTACAAAATTATGCATCTAAATATGCAAATTTGCATATTTAAATGCAAATAAATTTGCATATTCAGTGTGATGCATCAAATAGTTGAAAATCATAGTTAAAATCCTAACAATAAATTCATTTGAGTATACTAAACATTCTGCATATAAATCAAAAACAATATACACAAATGCTTTTCTCTATTTAAAATTTTAAAAAATTAAAACTAATGAAGACAATTTTAGTTAATGAAGAGCATAATTTAAATGATTTTTATTTTTTACTAGCTGCAAGGACCCGCTTTGCTGGGTTTTTATTTGTATGTAATATAGTTTTTTATATATATATAAAAGACTGTTTTTCTAAGTAATCTAGAATCTAGCTGCAAGGACCCGCTTTGCTGGGCAAAAAGTAACGATAGTGAAGATTAAGATAATTACATTATAGCTAATCTTACCCATTTTCACAGAATGCAAGAATTAGGTCCCCCGTTTCCAGACTAATTAGAGAATTTTTATGTTTAGTCAAACGAACTATTTTCAACGTTTCTGGAACGTTTACAATCGTTCTATAATCGAACCAATATTCGAATTTTATGTTTGAATTTAATTCGAACAAATTCAAACAAAACATTCGAAATAGAAAGCCACTTTCAACCACTTTCAGCCTCATATCTCCCGCACCCTTATAGTTATCGAGACGCAACCACCCCTATGCACGAATGGAGACTTAAGGCTACCACCACATACAAACATCATTCACGTGCGATGTGTAGTTTTGGCGGAAAAGTGAAATATAGGGGACATACATGTCCATCACAACGTTGTTTTTGCTCATACACAACATACACTTGTAATAAAACTTTACGGTGGGAGTCAACGTGAGGCTTTGGAAAGTGATTGGGGGTCGACGGTTAAAAAAGTTTGGCGACTTCTGCTTTAGGTCAAAGTTCCTCCGTGCTATAACAGAAAAAGACCAAGAATAACTCTAATCTGGTCAATATGGCTTTTCTTTTATTGTAACACATATTTGGGTGTCATCTTACTTACCCATGGACTACTCTTTTATTCTCTTATCTCATAAAATATGACTAATGGGATTCCAAGATTGAGCTGCAAGTAGTAGATTGAAATATTTGTAAGCTTTAAGTTACCACATTTGAGCAACTTACTACTTTTTGGATCACTTTGAAAATAATGTGGGCTACATTTCAAGGAATTCTGCTTTACATTTTATAAAATCTATCTGGCAACCTGTGAGGTTCTCACTGGACACATGCTGTTTACCTGCAGTTTATTTCTATTATTATTATTATTAATTAATGAAAGTAGAATTCAATATATGTAGCCACATTCTGCTTCCTTAATAAATTACATGGCATTCGGCATATTGTACAGAAATATGTAAATCTCGGATAATTCGAAACTGAATAATTCGAAGTTGCAATTATTTCATCCCTTGAATGTTGAACTAATGAGGATTTCCTGTAATATGAAAAATATTTAAGTAATATAAAAGATACTTTTCAAATAAAGCAGATTCAAATTGAGATTCAAATAGAATTGAGATACATTCATTGACAAAAAAGTTAAAAACACAGATAGAACTGTCTTATTATTTCAAAAACTTGGCATATGGCTATGTCTCAGACAGATAAGTACAGTCGATCCCCCTATAAGACGGTAGATACGTTCCGTTCTTTATGAATCAATTTTGTAGGAATCACAGCCTGACACGTGTGAAGTTTACAGACTATGACTGTTTGAAAGGTTTTTTTTAGACGATCACCATTTTTACATAGTGTTCTAGAACAAATTATAGACAGCTGGACCTTCCTTTTTAGACTACACAACTGCCTACATTTAAAAAAAGTTTCTTAAAAAACACAAAAACCAATAAAGATTAAAAAATTCTTCTTTAAAATTGGAATGGTAAATCTTGCGATGTCTTGTTAGATTACGCCAAGGTATCTTGGCGTAATCTACATTTGTCAGCGCTAATCTTCGGTAGATAAAAGGAGCCAGAAACCCAACTAGACAAGGATGAACTAACAAGATTTACCATTCCAATTTTAAAAAAGAATTTTTTAATCTTTATTGGTTTTTGTGTTTTTTAAGGAACTTTTTTTAAATGTAGACAGTTGTGTAGCCTAAAAAGGAAGGTCCAGCTGTCTATAATTTGTTCTAGAACACTATGTAAAAATGGTGATCGTCTAAAATATATTTTAGAGCGACTTTGTCTTTAATTTGTGAAAAAATAATTTATTCATCCAACGGAAATTCAAAGGTTTTCTTCCATAAAATTAATCGATTCTAGACTAATCCGACTCAACATTTCCAAAATACATATATTTTTTTTGGAAATAAACTATGCTATAAACAAAAAATTGTAGGATTACTTACCGAGTGTGCACCATTCGGCATCGCCGTTGCTCAAGCTTGTTTTTGTCACGGAACAGTGCAGCAAACCGTAACCGCGATTTCTGATGTTATTTTTCTACGAAAACTTCGTTGAACTTTGGAGACATCATTAATATAAATAATTTTAATCGCTGTTGAATAAGAAATGTTTCTTTCACAAGAAATGTATAAAATTACNCCGAGTGTGCACCATTCGGCATCGCCGTTGCTCAAGCTTGTTTTTGTCACGGAACAGTGCAGCAAACCGTAACCGCGATTTCTGATGTTATTTTTCTATGAAAACTTCATTGAACTTTGGAGACATCATTAATATAAATAATTTTAATCGCTGTTGAATAACAAATGTTTCTTTCACAAGAAATGTATAAAATTACAGTGCTGTATTAGACTTACGGTACCTAATTTACATACTGTACAGACAATAGCTTGCCTAAACTCTCCGTAGCGTGGCGCTAGACGGCGGAAAGTATACATATAATTATAATAAAGTTACAATAAATTAAGTTAATATATAATTATATATACAGTACCTAATTTATATATAATTATATGTACAGACGATACTAAACTCAATTTAACCGCCTAAACTGTGCGTAGC